ACTGTGAAGCTCAGTGACACGGGATTGAACCTATCAGGCAGCATCAGTTCTCTTATGATTATAGTTACACGTTGCTGATGAGTGTCGAATAGCATAAAACCTAGATTTAGAGATTCCTGTTGACTACCTCCAACCACCATCTGATCTCCGTATACCTTCAATTCTACCATTTGTTTCTTAGTTCATATTCATGAGATAATTGTGATAGTTAACTTTTTAAAAGTAATACATTTCGATTGTTATTTAATATTATCAGAAAGGGATTTTGTGGAGATTTTAGTAATTTTATAGTTGAATTCATGAGTTAATTAAAGCTAGACTGCTATCGAAAGCTTGGAATCACTAAACTTTCGTTTTGTCCTATTATGGGACTCCTCAGTTGTAGAAGAAATGATCCCTTGGGAATGTTTCTGTACAAGTAGATTAAATGTTCAAATTCAATATGCTAACAACAGCTGACGAGTTTCATAATAGGACGAAACGGCCATCCAGTTCTTCCAGGTTTTCCATGGTGGTCCAGCTTCAATTGACTCATGATTTCAATTAAGCAAATACTGAAATCTCCATAAAACCCCTTCTGACTCCTACTATTGTTAAAGTTGTTACTAATCGCAATCAAATTTAAAGGTAATTCTTTTACTAAACTGATATCGTAGTGAACGAGAACACAGGTGGAGACAATCGAAATTCAAACTTTAATGTTCCTTCATTTCCACAGATATCATTAACTGTTCTCGTTTTCTTTACTTCAATCTTCTTAACCTTCGGACACGAGATATTTCACTGTCGATTGATGATACATACTACTTATATCTGCCGATATCAATAGCACACACCGCAGTATTATTTTAAGAGTTGTTAAATACTGAAGGATATTAAATAATTTAGCCATGATACCATTAAAGAAATGTTAAAGTAGACTATTTGTGAAGTTTCCTGGATTATACAACTAAATAGTTCCGAACCAAGTTATAATACTTAACGATTACTACACGAAACATTATCAACCCATATAGATTCATAACTCGGTTCACTTATAGATCTAATTACTTATTATGTCATTAAAATGGTAATTAGAACAATTGGAGAATTATATAAACATTCTATATAGCATGAATCAATAATCATAACTAACTATTCTTGTTTATTTATCCTTTAGAATAAATACAGGAGTTATATCACCGTATTGTTTGGAATAGAATTACTTTTTAAATTTACTTAGTATTACTTGTTTGAATCTTTCCATTGATGTTTTTAGGACTGCAACTGGTTAGTCTCTTATTGGCATATGTACATACTGTGTGTATTGCCTCGATATCGCCTTAATTCACAAGCATTATAAGCAAAGATGGATAGTGGCTAACAGTGGAATCCAGTTTGACGCATGTTTCGTCTTATTTGAGACTCGTCATCTGGATGTACCTGCATCTCGGAGTTGATGTCCACTCAGGGACTCGAACCCAGTACCTTTCACTTTAAACGCTATCGCGTTATCTACTCGAATCCCAGAGTCTGAGATGCAAGTACATCCAGCTGACAAGTCCCAAATAGGAAGAAACGTCCGTCCTGGATTCCGCTACTAGCCATTATCCATCTTTGCTTGAAATACCATTTGTTTAAAGTTTTGTAATGTAGTATCAACATTCAATTCCATGATCTAATTGGAACTAAATGAGGAAGTTTGTAGAAATTATTTAATTCGACTAAATTTTACATCATGAACTGGCATTAACTAGACAGCCACTCTAAACTAGACATTTGTTTCATATCAATATAGAACTGTTCAGCAATGAGGAAGATCGAGAAATGGAGACAGACATGAGAAGAATGAATAAAATTTGAATAGAACTAGAAAGGAATAGAGTGGGTTGGAGAATGCTGGTTGGCGGCCTATGCTTGATTGGGAGTAACACGCGTAAGTATGTAAGTAAGTAAGCAATGAGTAGTCATTATGTTCACAAGGTTAGAAATTAAAATTTTTTAGATGTTTTAGTAATTTGCTATATTGCTCATATATATTAACAATCGTCAACGATGAAGTTTATCTCACCTTGGAAATCATTTAACACCACAGACTCTAACTGCTCATCATTGCCTCAAGAATGTACAGTAAAAATGGTCAATAAGATGTTTATAGAAATTTGTGTGATCAGGATCCTCAAAAAGGTAGTCGTATTCAACAATAATATTGTGATTAGTATATGGTGCATTTGAGAATTCGTTTGTTTTTGCTTTAATTATAAGACAAGTGAATCATTATACTTAAAATATGCTGTAAACTAGACAAATCTATCGTCACTTTGTAATGTTGATAATCACTAGGCTCACAAATCTACTTGTATTGTAAGTTTGAAAACTTAACTAATTGCTCTCACATGGCCACGCGTATATAGCCTATCCCAGCGAAGTCCTACTCACTGCCTTCTCGTGACTGGGATGTTGTTTATGAAATTGAAAGAACGAAAGCGAATATAAAGTGCTGTAACCGGGTTGGTGGATATGGAGGATCCACCTAGGGGAGTTGGAAAACTCTGATTCCAAACCAATGATCCACATGTGCTCCAGTATAGTGAAGGAACAAATGGCGTATGAATCAATCGTTAGTCACCAACTACCATGGGACTGCATCTCCTTACGATGCTCCACTGATTTCTGGATCAGACCTTTAGGTCAAAGGCTCCGGGTGTGGGCCCCTAAGAAAATCATCTGCCTCGGTCTGGGCAGTATCACAGCCCTCACACAAATCAAATGAGATTTGTGTGGCACATATTTATCTGGTGCTTCGTTGTACCAATATTTATGTGTTTAAATAAATAAATATAATAAATGCTTTTGTGTAGACGTGTTTCAATGATTCATGAAAGGAATAATTGCATTCAAAATACCAGAAAAATGTGCCCAAAATTTATCTAAACACCAAGTAGATTGGTTTTGATAAATGATAAATGTCAATCTTACATTCTGTTGACCTTCAACATGACACCCCTATATAATCATTTGAAGTACTATTGAGGTAATGTGGTGTGTACTACCAATGTTGATAGATATATAAGTAGTATGTATCATCAATCGAAAGTGAAATATCTGGTGGTTGAAGGTTAAGAAGATCAAAGAAAAGGGAAAGAGAATAGTGAATGATTGATGTGGAAACGAAGGAACAATGAATTCTGAACAGTCAAGTTTGAGACAATTGATTGACATTTTGTAAATGAAGTACTATTATAAAATGTAAAGAAAAATTTATTCTTTTTTCAGAATACATTTGCTTTATTCTCATTATTGATTGTTTTTAAAAATGTAAACTTGATTAGTCACTGCTAGTAATATGGACTCATTAAATGGATGTATAGACATTGAATGTAGCCAGAATTTGATCAACTGCACAAAAATATCAACAAAAGGAAACGTAAATCTTGCAAAATTAAGATAATTGTCAGTATGGGGTTATAAAGATTGATTGATTGATTGATTGATTGAGATCATGAATCGATTAGTGTTAGAAACCACCATTGAAAACCTGGATGCACTGAACAGCCGTTTCGTCCTAGTATGTGATTCTTTAGCATTGCACATCCACTATTTTACTTATTGAATACACCGATGTCTAATGTAACCCTCATTCTAAACTACATCGGCTCTCGTAGGAAAAAGTGATGTTTGAACCAATTATTGGTTACTAGCTGCCATGGAAATACATCTCTTGACGTTGCTCCATTGCTTTGTAGACCAGACCTGTAAGTTGAAGGATCTGGATGTGGTCCGCTAGGAAAACCATCTGCTTCAGTCTAGGCACCCGGGCAGTATCACAGCTCACACACACAAATCAAGTGTTTTGTGTGGTGCAGATGTATTTATTGCCGGTTTTTATCAATATTTTTGTGTTCAAATAATATATGATAAATAGAATAAACATTAACTTCATTTCAAGTAGGATTCTATCATAATAATCAATAATATTGATTTAAATAACTTCTATTTGAACGAAGAATATTCATTTCAATGAATTCTCTTCAGGTTCTACAATCGTATATCCAAATTCATGGCCAGTTTATCGCACTAATGATATCTCTCTCAGTCTATCTGATCCATATTTATTCAGATCACAGATCTTAAATTTTCACTTGAGATATATACAGATTCAAGTGTTGACATTCCATATAAGTCATATCAACATTATCAACTTTAATCTATTTGGTTTGACTATCTTAAATGTACATCCTTTAAACGATGTAGTTTGCTTTTAAACTGGCCATTTTTACGAATTATTAATTTAGATATACATGAGTTGTAGAACTTGAAGAGAGAATTTATCGAAAAAACTATTCTTCTTTTAGTATATATAAGTCTCATTTAATATGATGGGGATCTTTAAACAATTATTTTCTTTACCAAAAAATAAAAAATAAAAACGCATCAAACAAGTAACTATCAGGACTTAATAGCTGAGTGGATAATGCGATGGCGTTTGAAGCGTAAGGTACTGGCTTCTAGTCTCAGAGTGAACATCAACAAGTCTGATGTGTAAGTATATCCATCTGACAAGTCCCAAATAGGACGAAACGAGCTTCAAACTGGATTCCATTGCTAGCCACTATCCATCTTTGCTTATCATGCTTGTGAATTAATGCTATATCAAGGCAATACGCACAGTATGTACATATGCCAATAAGAGACTGATCAATTGCAGTCCTAAACGTCAAATGGGAATATTCAAACAAAGAATACAATAACGGATTTAAACTTCACCCCATCGCACAAACAAGTGGCTATCAGGACTCAGTAGCTTAATGGATAATGCGATGGCTTTTGAAGTAAATGTGTTCAAGTCCCTGAGTGAACATCAACTGTGACATGCAGGTACATCCAGCTGACCAATTCTAAATAGGACAAAACGCTCGTCAAACTAGATTCCACTACTAGCCATCACTCCTTTTTCCTTAGAAAAATGCATCAAATTTATAATTAAAATAGAAATCAATTAGATACTAAATGAAACTTACTTATATTTATCTTCTTTATTATGACGTAATCCTTTATTATTATGATGATTATGTAATAATTTTTTTGTATTTTTTCCAATCCACTTTTCATGATCTTTTAATTTTTGTTTTTTTCTTTTAATTTTAATACAAAACATGTAAAGTATTAAATAATAAATAGTAATTATTAAATTAATAATCCATTTATAATTGAATAATTTCCATAGTTGAATAATAATTTGAAATAAATCAATAATCATTCAAAAAAAACAACTTATTATTCCATTTTTTCTTTTTTCTTCATTTTTTTCTTTTTTCGTCTTTTTTATTCTTTCTTTTCTTTTTTCTTTTCTTTTTTTCTTTTTCTTCTTTTTTTCCTCTTTTTTTCTAAATATTTTTGTTTCTATATAAACATATTGGTTATAGCGTAATTTTCAAAAATCAAATTTTGAGGGATTTGAATACTTTTTTTTGTCTTCATTATTTTTTTCTTTATTTTTTTTTATCATTAGAGACAGTAACTAAGCCGCAAACCAAAAAAAAATAATAATAATAACAACACCAAAAAAGGGGAAACTAGTCAATTGTCCAATCAACATGGAAACTAAGATAAAATTCTAAAAAAAAAGAAAAAAATATCCAATTCACTGGGGTTGTAGACAGTTTTTTTTTGTTTTTCTGAAAAGGAAAAAAAATACTCCCATTTTTTATTTTGATTATTTAATATCGGTTAACTATTCTGTAAGTGATATGAATAATCCAGACTGTCTATTATCATTATGAATGTTGTTAATTTTCTTTTTTTTTTGTCTCAAAAGTTTTTTTAAAAAAAAATAATTTTTCCTTTTTTCAATGATGGAAAACATAAAAACACCATAGTAACAATAATAATCATAATAAAGACAGTAACTTATAAACTTAACTACTTACAAAAAATTGTCACTCTCAAGGTCATTGATATACAAATTGACCAATCATAATTCATGATTATGGATAAATAAAAATAAATGGATATAATTACTTACTTACTTACGTGTGTTACACCTCGTGGAGGAGCATAGGCCACTAACCAGCATTCTTCATCTAACTTTGTCTTGAGCAATCCATTCCAACTCCTCCCAGTTGTTATTTATCCTTTTCAAAACGCTAATCAGGAAAATGAATATAAGTGAATAATAATTAAATATTAGAAATATATATATATATAAACAAATACAGTTAACTTACATTAATCTAGGATAGATATATTGAAAATTGGAGGGGAGGGGTGGGAATAAAAAGGTATCCATGGGAGTTCGAAGTAATGTACATATACATAAATCATCGATTACAAGAATAATAATAGAATAAAGGAAAATACTAGATTTATATTAATGTAAAAGATATTGTTGTCATGTAAAAATTAGAAGAATATAAACAATTAAATTAGTTGCTAAGTAAGAATAATTGATCACTATTCAATTTTTTGAGATTTCTTCAACAACAAAGAAACTATAGATTAACTTACTTTATTAAGAACAATAATTAAACAAGATTTATTTACAAAGCATAGGTTAATATGTAACACAGTGGTACTCATAATATTAGTTAGAAGAGTATAACACGGTTAAATGTGAATAGATATGCTTTGGTAGTACATCATTCAACTTAGATATTACTATAAATGATAAACTGTTATCTAAGTTATATACGGTAATGAAATTAGGACTTAGATACTTCTACAATACATCCTTTATAGAACAGGTCTTGAAACAGACCTTTGTTGTATAAAGTATGTGTTCAACTACTGATAGAATACTGCAGGTTTATTCTTAATAGTGTTCGTAAAAGGAATAAATTAAGGTTGGAATCCGTTCAGAAACGATCTACATTTCGCATTCTTCGAACTGATTGTACCCTAAATTGTAAGTCCAGATGTAGTGAACTTGAAATTGACCATTTATGGAAGAGAAGACTCAAACTAAATCTAATTGATTTCTTCAAAATACTTAATAAACTATTCTTTATGTCCAGAGAGGTAACTCAATAATTAGACACTCCTAATTACAATATCCGTAACTCGTTATCATTATTGAAACAATCACATTCTAAATCATCTCTCCATATAAATAAATTTACCAGTACATTTTCTAGATTCCGAAATAAGCTATCATACTCTAACTGTATGATAAGATTACTCCTGTCTTTTGTTCGCTACATTGAAGCTTACATTTCTGAAAATGCACTAACTGTTCTTACACTTGTAAGTGCATCTTATTCCATTAAAAGAATTATAGGTAATTTAAATATTTAGTCATTTTTATTACTGAATCCACTAAGCAAACCTATCTACCTGCTATCACTTAACACTTATACCTTCCCTACCAGCCTTAATTAACTTGAATACTATCTAATACGAATGGCATAACATCAGATAACCTAACATATGTATTATGGTAAACTAGACTAACTTATCATAGTGATTATTACCCTTTTCGTTCCGTGCTCTCTGCTTTCATTTTATTTTCTCTAGTTGTAGATGATTATAACCAATTCATTACGGTGTACGAAATCACATTAAATGCACCGTTCATAAGTCAACATGTTGCCCACTCAAGAAGAACTGAAAGTTCCTGGCCGATGTATTTCATTGGTGTAATATATGTCATGAATGTACAACTTAAACAACTTTTGAACTAAAAAACCTACAACACCCCTTTATTACATATCTGTTCTCTACATTTAGTATTACTATTTAGATCAAGTTGATCATGCTTGTAAACTGACTGCCATAAATTCTATAACTGGTATTATTATCCTGAATTCCCTATCGTATTTGATAATGCACTGTTATTCTGATAAAAACATTTTAACAGATAAAAATTATTATCAGAAGGAATCATTGTGAAGATTTCAGTATTTTCATAGTTGAGATCATGAGTCAATTAAAGGTAGACCACCATGAAAAATCTGGAAGCACTAGATGGCTGTTTCATTCTATTGTGGGACTCCTCAGCAGCGCTGATCCAGATAAGAATTAAACTAAAACACAAATCTAGATGATTCTACTAATTTACTTCAACAGTCAAGCTGTATACATAATACATAACTGTATTGACCAATAATAATAATTTAGCTTAATTGTTACAAGTGTATCAATCAGAGATTGGGTAACACAAGGCATATCATTCAATTAGCTCTTTTCATGGAACTATACCAAGCTATTCCGACCATGTTTACATAATACAACGACTTCAAAGTGTTTCATTGCTTCCAATTCAGATATACATAAGGTTTTAATTGCTGAAAGATTCCCATTCTATCAAAACATAATTACATGAGCAAAGAAGTAGCTAGTCTAGACAATTTATCTTTCAATCTCGGAGTGATAATTGAATGTGTGAAAACATTAATTGTAGTTTATCTGCGTTGAAAGTACTTTGGATTGATCTATGTAATTGTAGTCTTAATATTTTACTACGATGCATCACCTCTGAATGCTAAGCGTATATACAGAGGCTTTTTGTTTACAGTTAAGAATTTCTTATGTTCTCTTTTATTAGTTATATGGTTATTTATAAATTTCTCTGGATATCCGTTTTCTTTTAGGGTGATGTAGAACGCCTTTGTTTCGTCTTCAATCAGATCTAGAGAGCATATGGTCTTGATTCTATGGTGACGTATCTTAATCAGGTTCCTATTGTATTGTAAAGGAACAAAAAGTAAGAAAATTTGTATATTGGCTTGTCCAAATAGTTTTCTTGTTTATGTTTCTTCTTAATCACCTATCTTTTCTCCTTGTAAGTAGAAGACCATCAAAGGCTATTCCACCTCCATTTTCTTCCTCATATATGAATCTTATGGATGGATGAACCTCATTGAATCGCTCAAGTTTTTCTATCAAGCCAGTATAGTCGTTATAAAGGATAAAAGCATCGTCCATATATAATTGTGTTTTATTACATAAGCCTATAAACTAAGTTGTTTTTAATTACCAAAACGGTTCAGAATATAAAAAAAAGAATGGTTCATTAATCATGAATGAATTGTTAATGAAGTTTTAAAGGGTATTTTATAAACAGTCAGGATAGTAATTCACTTGGAATTGATAGCTTGAATCTTCTGATTATTGTTTAGGACTCAGTAGATAAGCGGAAAACGAGATGGCGTTTGAAGCGAATGGTACTTGGTTCGAGTCCCAGAGTGAACATCAACTAGTCTGAGATGCAGGTATATCCATCTGAAAATTCTCAAATAGGACGAAACGCGCTTCAAACTGGATTCCACTGCTAACCACTATCCATATTTGCTTATAATATTTATGAATTAAGGGAATATCGAGGCAATACGCTCAATATGCATATATGCCAATAAGAGACTGATCAATTGTAGTCCTAAACATCAATGGAAAGAATCAAATAAACAATACCAAATGGAGTTGGATTATTTGTTGATTATGTGATGGTGAGGAAGATTTGTAGTTCAGGTGAATGATTTTGATAGAGTTTTGTTTTCTGCGTATATATATGTTTCCTATGACACAACCAAGTTGCTTGGAGCTTTTCGATATTAAATGTTATTCACATATATCCCGAAATTCTTTTAGATAATACCCTCTCCATCCTTTCAACGTACGTGCTGTCAAAGGTATAGGTAAACAGGTGGATACAATTAGAAGTAACTAGAGATGATCTATTATCTCAGTTATTTCCTCTAAGTAACTTTTCCATTGAATACGTGATTGTTACATTAGCCGGTGGATAGATTAGGGATTCATGCTAAATCAAAGTATTCCAAGTGATGAACAGGTTGTGTTAGAGTTATATGAGCTGATAATCAGCTTAATTTCAGTGATTGTTCCTGTGAGACTTTCAAGAATTTTCTCTAACTTAGTTGAGAGAGGGTGCAAATACCTCATTTTATTCATTTTGAAAAATAATTTTCTCAGTATTGAGAGCTTGTAGGGGCTGATGTCATGTCAAGCGTATATAGGTTACTCTAGCCTCTGGACAGACCAATCAATTCATTCGTCTCAAATCACATTTTTACCCTGTCAATTAATCGTTTATGGAACCGTGACCATTTTTAGATCAACGTATTTGTGTTAATTGCTTACTACATTCATAATATATCTGTAACTTATTTTTTCTCTGACTATAAATATTGAGTAATACTTGGTTAAATCGAGTCGACTCCCTCGTCTTCTTCACCGCTCGTCATTTTGTTTTCTCTTGTTTCTCTTCTTTAATCATTTGTCTGGATCAACGATTGCGCAAAAAAT